CACATTCACTAACCAACATGACCATATCCCCCCCCCACCATATACATACATGGCATGGTAAACCACATCTCTAGGTTCAGCCACTCATCAGAAATCACGTTGTTCTTCCAGTCAATGCTCTGCGTTTTCTTCCTGTTTCCCCAATGAGGATAACAGGAGGAAAACGCAAAGGCACCGCACTAAAGTAGATTGGATGAAAGGGGAAAGTACAGGCATCCAGGCCAGTCAGGCTGTGTTTAAGAAAAAGGAGTACAATTCAAAACATTAATCTGATTAAGCAAAGTGGTGTGCCAAGCATTGCAAGCAAAGCAAACTTTTCATCGGGAAAAAAAACAACGACGCAAATCATCATTTAATCATGTCAAATCCATCAACAGTCAAAAGGATCAATCCATCAAGGGCAATCAATCGATTGATCAATCAATCAACCAACCAATCAACCCATCAATCAACCAATCCATCCATCCATCCATCAATCAATCATTAACTCGCTCACTGGATGGATGGATGGATGGATTGCTCCATCCATCTGTTTGCCCACCTGCCGATCCCATCCCATCTCAACACCCCCCGGTACTCGCATACCATCGTGTCCCATTTCCTCCTCTCCCCTCCCCTCCCCTCCCATCCCATCCCATTCCCACCCATCCATCAATGCATCATTTTCAATCAAATTAAATCACACAGTCAATTCCTTCAATCCAGCACGACGTTCTTCCCAGAGTGGTATTGCACGTTCAAATCATAAAACCATAAATCGGCATTCCAACTCCCTTCTAAAACACCCCTCATGGACAACCAGTAAGCCACAGCAGGGAAAACACATATCCCGCTAGATAACGGAATATGTTTGAGACGAGCATGAGATGATCTTGAATAGGGGCGGAAGGCAGCAGATCGGTGTAGGTGCAAAGCAGCCAGGGAAAGGATGGGAGATCAGAGGCTGGAGGGAGGAACAGCAAACGCAGCCAAAGCTTACCTGGCGTGTATGGTATCTTCACTCAGTTGGCCCCCCAAAAAATTCGCTGTGAGCCCCGGGCCAAGATATGTGAGCACAGCACGGGCAAAACGGATCAGCGGAGGAGGCTGTAATCGTGTGTCCGATGAACGCAGTGATGCGCCTGCTGACGTGGCAGGAAAGGTGGCATGACGACGGCAACAAAGGATGGAGGTACCAAGCACTGCTGCACTGATAGTTGAATAGCCATTTGTGAAGATCGCCACCACACTCAGGGCAACACCCTGAGGGTATGGCGCGAACGTTCCTAACGAAGACAAGGGAGAACTGGGCGCCGCAATTACCGCCGGATTACCCGAGGTAACTGCACTGGGATACGAATATGGATAAGACGTTAATATGGGTCTCGTCAGTGGGAGACGGACCCCTAAAACGGCTATCCTGACTGCCTCCACCATTGACGACAGACTTTGAGCTTCATCCCCGATCTCCTCTTGTTAGCTGAAAGACCAGGACAAAGACAATGGAGGAACGGGGGAGAGAGGAAAAGCACCGACACTCGCTTTTCCCTCTCTCTCTCCCCCCCCYTCCTTCCCCCCCCCCCCCCCTCTCTCTCTCTCTCTCTCTCTCTCTCTCTCTCTCTCTCTCTGTTGTGGTGTGTACGTGGATGTGGGCAACACATGCACAATTGGTTTGCCAACTCCAACTTAGCCAAACTTCATTTCCTTCTCACCTGTTTCTTCCTACCGCTATGCGCTATATCTTTTTCCGTCTACGGCACACGTTTACATCGGACAGCCTGCATTAGCATGCTCACGATCCTCTTCTTCATCCTCAAAAACAACGGTTGCAATCCTAGGCAGCAGTCTGTCCTATTTCAACCAACTAATCGGGCAATCAATGACCGACCATCGGAAACCTGGAAGGGATGCCAACACATTCTAGAGATCTCTAGAACTCTCTAGAACTCTCTTCCTCAATCCACAGGACTCCCTACATGCTGATTCCACATCTCTCTCTCTCTCTCTCTCTCTCTGGCACACACACACACACACACACACACACACACACACACACACACACACACACACACACACACAAACACACAGAGGCACCCCCGTGCACACCGCAGTGTACTTGAAGCTACACTTTCTCACACCGAACTCTCACAATTTAAAAGATTTTCTCAGAAGCTTCCTGGAGTGCACAGAGGCGCCCAACAACCAGCAGACCACAGAGGCAGTGCAACCACAGATCGAACATCCCGATGAACATCACGTACAGGAGAACCTCAAGTCGAAGACTCCGTCGAACTGAGACTGCTGGCACAGACACACCTGCAGGCAGCAACCAGAATCTGATGGTTGGTCATCTGAAAATGCATGACGTGACACCGATTCGCATTCAAAGCATCGATTGATTGAATTCACAATTCACAATTCACAATTGATTGACGAAACAAATAACCAACTTGTCGACTTCATCGATGATCGGCGGATTGGTTGCCCTTATTGATCTATCACGTAGTCAATCAATTGATTGCTTAGCTTCAAGAAACATCCATGCACTGATCGAGCTATCCATCCATTGTCAATTGATGCCTTCAGGGATTGATCACTTGATTGGTAGATTGGTTAAGTGGTTGGTTTATTGCTTCCTTGATTTACTGTCTGATTGCGTACTTACAGGATTTCATTTCGTTAATCACTACTTTAATTGATGGATTGCACTCGGAACAATTCATCGCTTCTTTAATTCATCGACTGCACGCGATCAGCCAATCGCTGCCTTCATCATAAACTGATTGAATCACTTGATCCAAGTTGATTGCTTGATCCACATCTTTAATTCACTGATTATTCATCAGCTGATGAGGGCTCCTACAACTACAAACTTCCATGCACTTTGCCATCAAATCCAACTGGCACATGACAAGCGCAAAACAAATATAATGCGATGAACGACACTGTCATAATACATCAAGTGAAACTGCCCATGAAGAGAAACAACCACGACCCCAGCTGAGGTTGTAATTGCTCGATCACTTCCTTTTCGGGATCCTGCGACAACAAGACGCAGCTTCATCTCCACAACATGAAGGCACACATCCCCCTCTCCCCTCAAGAGCCCAACCCCGCAGAACACGTACACCCACCGTCCTCGCCCCGAACCCCACCTCTTACATTCACCCCGCCCCATAAACCCCGCCCCCTCCTCCATCCCCGTACAGGCTGATGGGGCAAAGTGGAGTGTCCTCTGCAATCAGACTCGCTTTCCTTGTCGCTTCACATACATGTAAACAGGTGGCACACCCAACTCAAAGCTCAAAGATAGGGCAACTTAGAACACAGTTCAAATACAACCTCGACTCAGACTATGGCACACAAGCGCCCACAACTCTCAGCCCGCCACTGTGCTCAACACACTGTTCACACCCTCGCAACTCTGGATCACCCTGGATACCCCACATGCAACACTCTCTATATACATGCACATACGCACACTGCACTCGCCTACAGCTATGGCGGCTATGGCCGCAGTCACTACCTACAGCTATGTCTATACTATCTCCCTCAGCCCACTTCGACTTCGGGCATATCTGCAGACCACCTCGCACAAGTCGCCCAAGCAGCGCTTCCGCATGGCTTACGCAGGAAGGAATGGATGGCTGGACGCTGCCTCCTGATTTATACCTCTGTTCGTGGCTGGTCTGCCCTTTTCCACCTGGCCCTTGGTGCACACAGTCCCACATGGTACTTGCTGACTGCATGGGATGGTACCGCCGACTCAGTGCAGTCGCACTGCTGACTCGGTGCAGTGGGTTTACCACTTGCCTCTGGTCTGTTGTGGGCAGTCTTCGAAAGGCCTTCTGGACCTTCCGAAAGGCTGTGGACTTGGCCTTTCGAAACTGTAGCAGCTACGACCTTGACCTTTCAGGACTCCTACAGCTACGACCTCTACGGTTAAGACCCGACGGACACACAAGTCTACGGTTAAGACAGATCTACGGTTAAGACCCGACGGACACACAGGTCTACGACAGACTACTACTGGTTCCTAAAACACAGGTTACAGGTTCAAACACACACAGGGGTACTGTACACAGGTAGTGAAGTCTAGGGATCGAGCCCTGGGATCTACATCCCGCTACTGCAAAATGGTGAAAACCGTTTCACCTCAGGAGATAAATGGGAAAACCACAAACCTTGGACAAACCAGCAATACATGCCCCATGGAACAGGGGTCAGGAAAGAAGAAGAAAAAAAAACAAAAAACAAGTTCAAAAACAACAGGGGTCTGGGGGCGAAAAGTGGGCTGAGTGCAGCAATAACTAATTATTCCCGAAAGCCAATTAAGTGGCTCCTCCCGGACAAAGCCTGATCTGTGTACGTGTTTAAGGGACGCTGGACCCAGTTTTTTTCCAACAGGTGCCATTCCCCACCGATTGAAAGGAGCCGTCTGAAAGAGCGACACCTCCGTTCCCTGAGTTATGCTCTTACCGTATGGGGATCATACCTAGCAGCCAGGCAGTCATAACTGCCGATATATCTCCCAATTCTCTCTCTCTCTTCCCACCGCAAGCGCAGGGGCAGCTCAAGTGCAAGGACAGTGAGTCTAAAAAATTGCGTCGAAGAGCAGCAAAGAAAAAGGCCAAGAAAAAAGGCCAAGAAAAAAGCCAATAAAAAAGCCCAAGAAAAAGCGCTTTGCAGAGCAGTCAGCTGCACAACCTCCCCCAGTTCTCCTCCTCGCTCCCTGCCGTAGTAGCGTTGGGCCCAAGGAAATGGGACCTGGCACCACTGGGCCCATTTCCTTGGGCCAATGTCATTGTGCCCGTTTTCCTTGGGCCGACACGACTGAGTCCATTTTACTTGGGCCCTGCCAGACCCCGTTTTCCTTCAGCCAAATGCCATTGAGCCCATTTTCTTTGGGCCCTGCCGGATTCGGTTCCCTTGGGCCCTGATGACCCCATTTCCCACTGGGCTCTTGCAGAGCCCAAGGAAAATGATCCGGATCACAGAGGTCTCCTCCAAAACATCACAGACAACACAGTTAAGTACAGAGAAGGAAGAGAGGAACAGCACACAGAGACGTGTAAGACGTATGGAACAGATGTTAAAGATGGGAGAGAGGTACAGGGTGGGGTACGGGAGAAAGAAAGGTTGTGGAAGTAAACTGCGCACATATGATTTCGTGACGAAGTTTCCTTGATCTGATTTTTCCATACAGACTGGACAGAAGGATCTGACGTATATGTCCACTTGTTGGGGTTCGATACATCGTCCACTGACGTACACTGTGACTAGACTGACACACCCAAGTTATTCGATCTCCGCTTGGAACGAATATAGACTTCCGTCATTCAAATGACTATTTACTTGCTCTTGTGAAGAAACTAGGAATGCTTGTCGGCTGACGGAAACCGACAATCAAAGAATGCAATTTCCCACGCATCATGCAGCAACAAAAACACATACATCTCATCAGCCCATAGACTTGTCAGACCTCATGCTCGAGTGCCCCTAATCCATGGTTGCATCCCTGCCGACCGCCGACCCCGGCCACCGACCGTATTGCAGAGGACCAGTAGGGCCGACCGGTCGGCGGTCTGCAGACCAGTCAGAAAACAACCATCCACTATTTTTTTTTCAGATCTGAGTTGGAAGCTGTACTGCGCTTGTTGAGTACAGCCCAAATCCGCTGAGAAACTTTTGGGGATGGGGGGGTTGGGGCTGGGGTGTATAGGGGGATA